GAGGACACTATGCGCAAGTGCTTCACCGAGGACGACAAGGCAATCATCCGACGTGATGTTGAAAGCCGAAAGAGGAAAGCAAAGTCATCCAAAGACGTCGAAGACGAGGACTACATGGATATGGATGATGAAGATATTGAACTTCCCGAAGAAGAACCGGAACTAGGAGGTAAGGTACCACCTCACTCTCCGAGAGCCAAAGGTAGACCACACTCGTCAGACTCTGCAAAAGAGGAATACGCGAAAGCGGTCGAGGCAACCAAGAAGGCCTTTGGGAACGCCAGTTTCGTCACCAGATTCAAAGAGCCCGTCGACCTCTTTGACATTGCCGATGACAAAGAAGGAGGAGAGTACAGGGTCGCAAATCACAGGGTTGATAGATCAGGTCCTAATGGAAAGTGGGAACTTGATGCACTTATTCAGGAGGCTGCAGCACTCGGAATAAAGATGCCCAAAGTGAAGGACCTTGCTCCTGACCCACAACAAGTTCAAAAGGTTGGATATCGGCAGATTGAGGTGACTTGCGATAGAGGAAGCATCGAGATAATTCCACAGTATGGAGTTACATTTTATGTGGAGTACTGGAATGGACCGAAGAGAGATGCAACTTTCACGGATCCACCAAAGATGAACCCAGCAACTCGCATCGACAAGTTCAGCGAGGAGAGTCAGCGGGGCAACGAGGTTAGCCATAGACTCAATAGACTACTCAGGCATGGAGTGGGAAAGCATAATGGGATTCAATCGCACCGCGGTCGAAAACCTCATGTGTCCCCGAAGTGCAATGAGGGTGGATGGGTGAACATCGATGAGATCCTGGAATATGACCATGTCTTCAACGATGGTGTCGATATCAGTACTATCTCAGATGATCAACGTGAGCAAGATGTCAAGACAGAGCGATACCAGTATTTATGCAAGGCGATGTGGCATGCAAAGAAGTTGCAGAACAGAGTACGCTATCAGATTGCCGCCATTCGTATCTCAAGGGAGGATGTCTCACTCGAAGAGGAAAGGCAATACTGGGCAAACCTCATGTATTACAGCACAGATGCACCGTCATTTCTGAAGCATGAACGTTGGATCGTTCCTTGTGCAATTCGAGCTGTTGCCTCTCACAATTCTGGAAGAGAGACTGTTCTTGAAGAGGATGTGTCAATATATCCTGTGTGGACTTCACATCTCATTCCAGAGAATGTGGCAATGCAGCTTGGAGGAAGCTTTCACATGACATCGCTTTCCAATATTGAGTCAATCATGAAACTAGGAATTGTCCCTGGTGGAACGGAGGGATATAGAGGTAGTGTTTTCTTCAACCACTTTGCGCCGTGGGATGATCGATCATCAAAGATTCTGAGATCAAGATGGCCAAGAGTGGGAATGCCCGTTTGCCTTGATGTTCCAATCATGACTTTGAGGAAGCTTGGGGGAAGAATTTCGGAGAATTCCTACACTGTTGTTTTTAGAGAAGTTCCATGGAGATGTGTACGAGGTGCTTGGTATTGGGACGACTACGTTCAGGCATGGAGGAGACTCCTGCTGGGAAGCACTGGAGAGCAAGTTGTTCTAGCGGCACGTCATGGACTTTGGGTTGCTCAGAAGCATACCATCCTCGAGAGAGCCGACGAAGTCACGAAGTCAGCCTCGGCGACAGATGACAACGTCCAAAAGCTCGTGTCCCTTATCGATGAAGTACAATTCGATGACAATGGAGAGCTGATCGAGGATTCCATCAGTGAGGAAACTTGGGACGAAATCATCTCCAGAACATGTGAAGGGTATCGCAACGTGGATGGCAATATTTTGTGTCCATCATGTATGCATTTGACTTCTTCATCTTTGTCCGTGTGTCTATCTTGTCAAGGCAGGCTACTCTCGTGTGGTATTCGCAACACTGTCATTTCCGATTCACCCGTTGATCTTGTGAGCGACGATGAAGAGGAAAAGAAGGAAGAGAAGGAGCCTGAAGATGATGATCAAGATATCTTGGACCAGGCCACTATGGACGAGATCAGAAAGGCTTGGGAAGAAGACATCGCTCAAACTGAAGCAGCTGACGACGACGAGGACATGGACAATCTAGATCCTTCCAAACCGTCTGATGGTGCAGAAAACTTCAAGAGTGACAATGTCGAGACCCCATCTTTCAATGAGGACGAGATCGACTACGGTCGTGATTCTGATCTAGAAGATGAAGACGAACGAAACGTGATCATCGAGATCCAGAGGAGCACACAACAATATGAGGGGAAGAAACGTCAAGATGGTGAGCCCGAGGATGAAGACGTCACCGACGACTTACATCCGGAGGCGAATCGACCGACAGATCGCGATGAACCGGGATACTATGCACAGCATGGAGCGACCGAGTTCAATCCCGAAGAAGGAAGAGACAACGAAGATCTCCCCATCTATTGTCGAGTACCGGAACCTCGAATCTATGCGCATCAAGAGAGAGCCTACTGTCAGGACGTCTCCATGAATGCATCGGGTTTGATGGATAGGTATGTGGTCAAATGTGTGCTGAACATGATCTCCCTGATGTACAAGAGCTACTATTGCACCAGCCTTACCGACTTCAAAGCAAATTGGAAAAGGAAGCGTCTGGATGTGATAAGCAAGTTCGGTACAGAGGATTTCACTGAAATCGATGACGATGGGAGACCATTGGATCCAACAGATGACATGATGAGAATCTTTGCCAACGAAAACAAGATTACGATTGAGGAGGCCTGGCACCGATTCAGAGGAGAGCAATTCATTTGCAAGGTGGCACTCGTGATCCTATCATTTGGTCATACTCCGTACTCCTTCAAGAAGGAATATGGCAACTTCGAATACTCCACCAACTTGACTGACGTCCAGCTTGAGGAGTTGAAAGCGAAGAAAGCCAGCGCAATGACTGAATTGGTACAGAAGTGCATCCATGCGATTTATGGTTGTCGGACATATTCTTACTTTAGAACCGACGTTACATCGCCCAACCACAAGGTGATCGATCCTCTGGACATCATGTACTCGAGAATGAAGAGCAAATGGGAGAAGTCTATTCTGCTGATCATTGATCAACATGAGATCAGGTTGCCCCCACACGCTCAGAATGTCGTAGAGTCAATGGCCAGAAATCCCAACATTGGACATACAGAGAGATGGATGAGCGTGGTAGAACAGAAGCATGTTCAAGCTCTTACCGATCGTCTAGGCTTTGGAGATAGGGCCAAGGAGATTCAGGGCAAGAAGAAGCAGGCAGCCAAGGCAACAGCTAAGTCAACATCAACGACTAAGTCTGAAGCGAAAGCAGCATCTTCGTCAAGAGCTGAGGCAAAGCCAGCATCTACACCCAGAACCGAGGCCAAGCCGTCGTCAGCACCAAGTGAGGAGCCAAAACCTTCAACAGCACCTAAGAGTTTCGGGCCCTCATCAGCAGAGGAGAGCAAGGCGAAGGCTGCTCCAAAAGCCAGACCACATGATAAATCACCATCCAGTGCTACCGATGTGTTTGAGCAAGCTTTGCAGGAAGATCTTGCCGCCAACGCACATGCAGCAGAAGGTACAACTTCTTCATCATCCCGAGGACATTCCAAAGGAGGAGGCCAATCTGGAACATCTTGGAGGCCGGCGCTAACGCAAGAACGTCGCGAAGTACCTCAACCTTCTGAAAAGGGGAAGGGAAAGAGCAAGTCCAAGGGAAAGTCCAAGAAGGGAGAAGATGATCGGCGGGATGCTCAGGGCAGCTGGGATCATCGTGGATGGAGAGGTTATCGCCAGTGGTGATTTCTTTGAACGACTATGAGGATACCATGCAAACCAGGGAGGAAGTCATTCACCGGATGTCTATCTGACCTGCAACGCTGTAAGTGTATCATTGCAAATCATCAATCCGATTTGATACCATGAGCATAATGGAAGGCAGACAGTCACCGACTGTCTCTCCGACTTGCCGTTCTGTAAGTGTATCCAAACCAAAACCTACATCTTTTGAGAAGTGTGAAGTCAGTTGCCGATGTGACATCTACGTGGAAGTCACCAGTTCGGATCTACATCAAAGCGATGCTCTTTTGAGTGGATACTGAGCGAGGCCTCGTGACTGTCTCACTTGTTCAATTCGATTTTCATAGGTTCTGAGCCATAGTTGCACACTTTATATGTAAAAGTCCGCTTTAGTCCAGCATGTTTCGTAGTATGAGCCTCATATGAGTCTCGCGGCAAATCATACAATTTCTTTTGTAGCACTTACATCCCTAAATTTTCGTGTGTGATCGGAACATATTGTTGCCGTTCACATGGGGGGTGCGAATGGAAGTGCAGCGACACGTACAGTGCAACTTGTACATATATATGTACCATATGTACTTTGGCTCAAGGATCAAGCGACTAGAAAAGGTGCGGTTTCCGTTCCGACGCTACGCCGCTTATGGATCGTCAGTGATAGCTTCAAACTTCGCTGATTAAGATCCACTCGCATAATGCTCAATGATACAATAAGGAGATTCAAAGAAAAGACAACAGACTGTTTGTGGGCCCTTCAATGAAGCTCCTTACAGGCCATAATTCAAGGGACCCCGAAACGTTTTTTTTCCTGGTTCTTAAATTTTCATTTTGTTTACTTGTGCACTAACTATTGCTGTGTTTGAAGATAGACTTTGGCTCCTACTGTTGACCCACCGTAGCGACCCGAAACCTCTAAAAATAAAACATAACACACTATTAGCGATGGCCTCCAACCCAATAGTGATGGCTTCCACCCTAGTAGAAAACAAACCACTAACCTTTGAACTGCTTTTTCCCCACGACCGTCCCATACAACGTGGGCGTGCTACCAGAGGAAGTCAAGTACATGATGCTAGCTAGGGGTATTATCGACGCTCGGCAAGCTTTTGCCCAATTAAGAGCACAAGGTCTTTGCAAACGCTGCCGCACGCTCTACGGGCATGGAAAAAGACCGCGGACATTTTCGGAATGTTTCAATGAATTGGCTTCATTGCCCGACTGTTCCTCAGGCCTTCTTCGCGTTCTTAAGATGTTCAGGCGAGGGCATGGCTGATGCAAGCAGCTTCACAGGTTTCACCTGTCAATGGTCACGTTTCTCATTGTTGTTCTTCAGGTTTAAGTGAGGGCGATTCCTCTGAAGGGCCCCACTTGATTCATAGCACATGTCTTCCTGTTTGTTGCGCTGCCGCGTACACTTCTCGGCCTGCAAACTCCATGTAACTACTTTGTATTCAAAACGCGGCCGGAACTGCGCAGGTCAACTGTAAAAACAAGGTAAAAACAACGCTTTGCAGATTTCTAGGGGGTCATTAGAGATTGTCATTAGAGATTCTCAGTGAACCTCAACCCCCTAAGTACGCAGTCCCACGACCGGTGTCTGCTCTCCAGGATGCTGAACCTCCCAAGACTTTGGCGCTTCATGAGCCGCTGGCAAGCGTCCTTTGGGCTCCCTGGATGAGAGAGGTTGGAAAAATGATCAACAATTTGCTCAACAACTGGCCATGTAAGACCTTCCAAGCCGTTCTGAGCAACGGTGTCCCATTGACTTAAAGGGAGCTTTTCCCAATTCTCGCAAGTGAAGGAGGGCTCATACTTTGGGGAAATCAGGTTCTCATACCTTGTCATCGACTTCATGAAGTTTCTTTTCATTTTGACGCTCACTGCGCACTTGCAACTTGGCCGCACTTGCAACTCGACCCTCAGAGTGTTGGCAGTAAAGTGTAGAGAGAGTTTTTATATATGTTTTTATGCTGAAGTCGTTTGGAAGGAATCCAAAGGAACCCTGTCACAGGGTCTGCAGAAGACAGAGCCGCAGCGAACCCAGGTTTGCCTGTACTTGGGTGGCCATCGAAGGCAAAGTGACGCACCTTGGAGGAAAGACATGCCATTTCCGTGCTGGGGGAACCAATCAGTAACAAAAAAATCAACTCCTGATGTATGTATTCGATTGTACTGGTATTGCAAGAATGGCCACCAGTAGCCTTTGCCAGAGAGGACCAGTGATAAACTTGTTACTAGTAGCTTCTTGTTACTAGCAGTAATGCCCTTGTTACTAGCAGCGATGCACCTTGTTACTAGTAGCTTCTTGTTACTGGTAGTAACAACTTGAAGCCGAGAAGTCCGGGATTCACACATCGTGTGGCTGAACCTGCTGCACCTGTTTTGCCACAGCTAAGGCAAGGGCTTTTCAGTTACAGCACCTCTGGGCACACATGGTCAGAGCCCTTCCTGGCAACAGCGTTGACCAAAGGCAATATTCTTGTGAAATTCTGACATGATTCTAAATTAGAGTATATATCTTTAATTTCTACCTTTTATCGCAGCTGCTGGTTTCTGATGTTTCTGATTCATATTTGGCCGTGCTTACTGCTTTGACACAACCAAGACCATCTGAAGAGCTTTCAAAAGTGGTCCTAAGGGCATCTGAGATTCAGTGATTCAAGCTCCTTTGTGTCTTAGGCTATCAGCGATCATAGAGTCCAAGGCAAGGTCGAAACCAGCTCAGAACTCATTAACACGAGGCCGTTTGTTTTGATGATCATGCGGCGCGTTGATGTACAGCATGTTTTCCAAAACTCTCTATGGGGAATGAGACAACTCATAGCTTGTATGCCAGGGAGATCCCTGCAATCCATCCGCTGCGCAGGACGGGATGGGGCTGGTAGGTTTTGCAACATCCCAATGTGGACTTGAAGGATGGGACCAAGTGGAAGCAAAGGCAACCCACCCTCATGATGCATTAGGATCTCGTGTGTTTGCAGTAGCAGCTTTCTCATACACAGAAGAACGAATACAGCAGGAAAACCATGGAACACCAGTTAAGACCAGTTCTTTACAACTCGGCTCTTCTTAGCGGCTACTGGGCCGTCTATAGTGAGGATAGCAAGTGCGTCTATTGGCTGTCGCTCTACTGGGCCGTGATGACGCTCACGAGCGTAACTTGGCCGCAAGGACCAGTAGGCCACATGAGGCCGTGCGGATGAGCGGTTTTCCGCACGTTTTCGGGCACGGAGTATTAGTTGACCACAGTAAATATTCCACAGTATATTCCACACATACTGAGTACATCTGAGTACATGATTCGACGTCTTGAACAAAAAGGCCGCTTGGAAATCTAAGGTTGGCTATGGTGACGCAGGGGTCTGAGCTCTGAAGAGACGCGAACTTTGAGATCTTCCAACTTGGTGCTTTCTGCCAACGGAATCTTGACATCGGACGTATGCTACCCTTTGAGGTAGTACATTGAATTGATAATCAATGATAATCAAGGTTTTGGACATCAGAGGAACGGTTTCCCTGGAAGTATCCAACTTTGGTTTCGCAACAGTTTTGCAACCAGTTCCAGGAATGTTCCTTCATGGTTTCGGACATGTTGGTCATACGGATCGTTTGCCCAAACGTGCTACGGTCACTCCGCAGAACCAAGTGGAATACACTGCGAAGATCTCAGGTCGAAAAAGGAGTTCTTATTATTGCAATTTACTGCATACTGTAATTGTTTTGTAGTTTTTGTTTCTTGCTTGGCACCTGCTTGGACCCTGCTTGGCACCCGCTTGAATTCCAGGTCTGTGCCATTTTGATGATGATCTCTGGGCTGGTCTGGGCATATATCGTTGGTCTCAAGCTGAGTGTCGAGAGAAGCTACTGTTTTTCTTCCGTACCGCTTTCAATAGCCTTGGCACATCTTGCCACATCTTCCGATCACCGGACCTGTCGTTGGTTAATATGCTCGCACATGTTGGAGGTAGCGTGGTTTCTTTGATTCACACCATGGACACCTCAGTCGCTTGCCTGCAATTCTGATCGAAACGTTCAGAACACTTGAGAAGCTGGTTTCAGCATGTTTTAGCACCAAATTGCAAGATGTTCTTGGATCCTCTACTCATGAGTATTTCAGTGAGTGTTCTTCAACTGAAATAGCCTTGATCCAAACGGGCTAGAGCCTGCGTGCTCTCAGCAGTGAGGCCAAATTGAATAACCAGCTGGGAATAGGAGTCTTGACAGGAGTGACAGGAGTCCAGACTTGTTCAGGTGGAGTTCAAGCAAAATATGGATGAGTTGAACGAAATGATGGAGTCTCGAGGCTTGCCAAGAGACTTGCGAGCACGGCAGCCTGGGCTGTCAGACCGCGATGTCAGACCTGGGCTGAGCCCTGAAATCGGTGGCAAAGCGTGTGTTCCGGGCACCGAGGTGAGGATGCGAAGATATATGCATGAATGTGTGGTGGCGAAGCAGCAAAAGATGCAGGAGCCTAGCTCCGACGTGGTGTGGTAACTTGCTTCAACCCATTTCAACCCTCCTTTTTAGAGGTAAGCTAGCTAGCAGCTCTATCTGGCTATCTGGTCCTAAACTGCCGCAAAGTGGACGCAGGATAGCTCACGCTTCAAGAAAGCTCCCCCCGCCTGAGGGCGGGGGGAGCTTCCTGGAGGAAGCGCTCGCACTATTTGTGGTTCTTAGGATTAATAGGGCGATTGATGCATAGACTCTGTTGTACAATACTTTTCATGTTTGTTTGCAGCCAGGAGACCCTCCTACGGAGTACCATCTCCGAAGGATTGCAGAGAGAAGTCGCTAGGAGCCAAACCCTCAGAGGCTTAAGGATTGTCAGAGGTCTTTTTGAGCCTGCAAATATGATCAAATTAAATAGCAAACAAGGACAAATAAATCAGAGGCTCATCCTTGCTCATCAATTTCTTGGGTGAAGTGGCATATTTCAAGTTCCCAAACGCATGACCTCGATTTCAAGAGATGAGCATGAAATAACTTGGTGACAGTGGAATTGTGCATGTTTACTGATGCTCCTGGACGTGCCGAAATGCTGGGTGTCCCCAGCGTTTCGGACTGAGATAATCAGCGCGACCTCTTGAAGAACATCTATTGGGCGAAGGACCTCGGACGAAGTCTGACAACCAGCCCATCGCCAAGCAACTGGTTCCACTCAACACCCGTCCGAATGCTAAAAGCCTCAGTCGGCTTCAGCTCCAGATGTCATGGTCCTCACATGGCACAGGCACCTCAGGGCTCTTAAGGCCCTGAGCTCTGCATTCATGATATTCAGATTTGGATTGGAGGTTATATAGAGTAATATAGTTTCAGCATTAGTAAAAAACGATTTAGGGTCCCCGCCAGGCAACTTGCTGCATGACATTGCATGTTTGCAGAAAACTGAAGTCTAAGTTTTAAGCTTCTAAGATGTTCTGGGCATGGCCGACAGGCACACCGGAGTATATAGTATATACACACACACACACTTTACAGCAATTAAGCCTCCCCCCAGTTGACATTTGTTGGGCTTTCAGTGCACAAGCTGCACTTAGAGCCAGATTGGGGTGGTCCGTGGTTGGTGGCTCAAGTCAGGGAAACATGGGCAACAAAGCTTCATGACATCGACTTCCTCACCAATATGACATATTTTGGTCATTTTTGGATGTTTTCCCCTTTTGCGTTTCGACCCTTTGTGTGTGTGTGTGTGTGTTGACTTCACGATGTCAGAGCTGCGCCAGCGACGTGGAGAGAAGGAGGTGACCGAGGACGGGTCCACTGGGTCAGCATCACAAAAGGCATCACATGTTAGAGTCGAAGTCAAACAGTTGGAGCATGTTGGAGTTGGTAATCACTTACTGGTTGGGTTAAGCACCATTCTTTAAGCCACAACTTGTGCCTTACCAGCAGGTTGGTTCTGGATCGTCATTTGCATCGTTTCTTTTTGCCTTTGAACCTGTGAGGACACAGGAGATGCGGATAGCGGGGAATGGTCTCCAGAGCAGAAGAAGCAAGTGGAAGAGAAATTGTCGTTCCTTGGCCCTACTAGGAGCAGCGGACGCTACTAGGGGCTCCTGGCCGTACTACTAGGAGCAAGAAGCTACTAGTAACAAGAAGCTACTAGCAACAAAATACATCACAAAGAGAAATTGTCGTTCCTTGGCCCTTCGTATATCTTCAGGAGCTGCATTCAGGAGCTGCAATTAAACCGGCTGTTTACCCGAGGTCGCTCATGAAGCAGATGAAGACGACCCTTTCCAGATTTGCTTGGGATTTTTGTGCTTCTACTTCGCAAATCTAGGTGGTAGTTGCAAACCATTGTTTTGCAATGTCTTGCGCATCTACGTGATAATGTGATGAGCATGATGCCTGTGTACTGTCTTCGTCATATGCAATTGTGAGTTAACAGGGTTGTCCCAGCGTTGTTCCGGCGTCCAACCGAGCCTCCCTGCTCCGCTTGGTTTCACCTTCTTCAAGGACTCCAAAGCCTGGGACCTCCAACGAAGCGAAGAAGTATAAAGATCAACTCAACGAGGACGAAGCGAAGCAATTGGTGGAAGCATTGGCGTGGCTCATGTGAGCATCCGACAAAACTTCCATGTACTTTAGTCACTTTAGTCATGAGCCGCCTTAAGTATTTCTGAATGGATCAGAACCTTGCAAAACCGATAGGGGCCAACCCTGTACCCATATCCTTTCTTGATTAAAAGTAGCTTTTTGCTTGCATTCCAAAGCACTGGAAACTGATAGGGGCCAACCCAAAATAAGTCGGGCTGACGCCCGGGTACTGCGGACCCCAAGGACGGATAGGGGGGAAATGCGGCCGCAAAAGGTGCCAGACGGCGGACGGCAGCTTCGAAACCAGTAAAAGAAGGTTGGCAAGCTCCGGCGTGGTCCGACAAGCCCTTAGCCAGTGTTATTCTGCGCGCAAATGCGGCGGGAAAGGGAGCCAGACGGCAGTAAAAGAAGGCTGGCAAGGTCCGGTGTGGTGTTGTTCTGCGCGGAAAGGGTGCTCCGCCTTTACCCTGCGGTTTTTCAGGCGCCCCACTTAGCTTGTGCTAAAACGGGGTCAGGTGCGGACACGAAGAAGTTTTGACTCCCAACTCAAATTTTTGTTCAATGCGCCAGGATCCTTTCAACCTCCAGGCGATCTTTGGACTGGGAAAGGCGCAAAGCGAAAGCACCAACTCAAACACCAATTGCCAGCGGTCTGGCTTTGTATCAGGCCTATGCGGCTGATGAGCAATGGGATCGCTGCTGTAATGCCTCTTGGTCAATGCAAGCGAACCTCGTTGTTCTGCTGCTTCTCTTTAAGAGACCCTGCTAGCAGTCCAGGTCATGCTGCGGGGCTTCAAGCGGGTGAGTGCCACGTCCTCGGATGCGTACAAACCTGTCTGTGGCTGCAAACGGTTGATCAAAGAGGGGCACGAAAAGAGAAGTGCCAGTGAATTCGCTAAACCTGTATAAACCTGTGATATTCAGCCTCTCCACCTCTTTGTGTTGAACGGAGCGGCCATTGCAGTTTGACGCCAATAACTTGGTAGCCAGGCAATTTGTAGGCAAGTAGTTGTACGCTGGATGTATGCAAACATAGACGATATTTGCTGATAGTTGGAATCTCAACCTTTGCGTGGCTAGATCGAACGTCAAGACTCTGGAACGTAACATGTCCTAATCACACGGTGAGCCTTCGGCAGATACACAAAACTTGCATGGTCTGTTCTGAGGAACTGGAATCCAAAGAGGACCGCTATGAATTCCTAGCGACGCTTGCCAAGGCATGTCGAGAATCACCATTGCACCAAAACCTAGGATTGGAGAAAGAGAAGGTCCAAGTGATGCAAGAATCTGCAATATACCCTTAGCCCACCCAAAGTCGTCCTTTCCCTCCAGGCCTCAATGAATTTGGAGAAGCGGAGGGCTTATTTGCCGCAAAGGGGTGGCTCACAGTGACATGGTCTGTCGTTTGCAGACTGCATGTATCGTGCCTCTCATGTGTGGCAAAAGAGCGGCCTGTGTGGCACCCGTGCGGCTTTGCTCAGGTTTCGGCAAGCCCTGGCTGTGGTGACTGACATCACAGATCCCGACGATGCTGATGAACTGAAAGGGCTCAACCTAATGCGCTGCCAGGCTGGAACACCCTTTTCTATCCTTTTCGTGTTTGAAAGGTGGACTGTTGAGCAAACAATCGCGTTTTCTAGCCTGTTGTCAAAAGTGTGTCTTGATATTTGTACTTGCTGATGACAGCAGTGGGCAGTGAACTCTTTGGTTTGGTTCCTTAGTGTCTCTTATGCCTTTTCCGTGAAAATAGACGTTGAGCATCTGGAGTCGAGTGGTTTACTTCCAATCCTGAGCCGCACCGACTTCCAGGTCTACTGCCACAATGGCGAACTCCAAAAGGGTCTCAAGGTGCACCGAGCCATGAATCATTGAAGACTAGTCACCAAACCCAGGAAAACATGACCGTCACACTGTCATCATGTGCCTGGGCATACCTGTTTCCTTTGGGTTGGTCCTGTCTTGTCTGAAGGTCCTGTCGCAGACGATCGTTTCCCGTTGCATGTTCAGTCCTTCATTTGTGTGATGAAAACAACAGTCGCGACCACCACAACCACAACTTGGTCATTTCCCAAGACAGTTGAAGTCGAGGCATTCAATGCGGCCATTGAGGGGGCTTCCTTCCAAGACGCTGTGAAAGCTTGGGCCAGCTGCAGTCGTGGCTTGAAGCAGGCGCAAAGACGAAACGCATTCGCTCCTTGATAAATGTACCGAACAGACGTGTGGAGCCACTCTCCCGATGGAAAGACATGAGGGTGTTGGTCAGTTGGTTTCTTTGTTGTTGAGTACAGGATATGCTTTTAATTGCGACATTTGTGAATTTTGTGTGTCTTGGAATGCAACAAGAACAAAATAAGGACAGACACTGCAACTACCTACCCAGAGACGCATGACACAGCCCATTATAGCCCATTGTTAGGGCCAGGCAAAGATGAGCGACACACGTGGTAAGCATTTATCTACGTCCTCAACTAAAATTTGGTAGAGGAACTTCCGAAGTACGAGGAAACCATCGAGTGTGCGTTTGCGTGTCTGCAAAAGAAAGAGAACCCACAAGGCTGGTGCTTTTGGGGGGAACGTATTTGTGACAAGTCACCAACCTCGGAAATGCTCGGTGAGCGGAACGGGTGCCAGACAGACTCGGCACGGTCTTGGCGCTCTTTTTGCGATGGGCACAGGTGTTGATGTGGCCACAGATTCTCATTTGGAAAGACATTGGGAAGGCTGCGTGAGGCAAAGACTTCTAGAAAAAGACATAGAAGGATTAGAGAGGTACAGTAATTACTGTAGATATCTCAAATATCTCTACTAACCCTTCACCGCCACTTTATCGAACCACAGATCATCACACGACACTTCAGCAGTCAGGACGCACCACCTCTTCACACAACAAATAACGGCGCGTCGCTTTACCCATGTCACTTGACATGCGGCAACACCACTACATGGCACCTCAAAACCAGTACAAGATGGCCTCACACATCAGCTCATCACATTCCCCCCCCAAGAAATCCTCCTATAGGTAAAGCATCGGGGGAAACTTCTGCTCACTCTGCCAGACTGCCTGGTATTAGGTGTCATTCCAAAATACACTCTCTCTCTCTCTCTATGAAGAAGGCCATCATTTACAATTTTTATTCGGCAGACGTCAGTGCACCCAACACCTGGGCGAACTTGCTTTGTCGGGAAGGTTGCAACTACTATGTTGGGAAGGTTGCACATGTCTGGGAACCAATTCTTTAACCATCATAATCTTGGTGGCACTAATTCGTGCCGAGACACATCCTACCGTTATAATATATATATGTATAATATAGAGCACTATAATCAGTTGCCCCAAAGGGGTTGCAATTGCAGGGATTCCTATTGACAGGTTTAGGTTGTTTGAAAATTCTAGCACCCATGGGCTGAAATGCACCTTCTGGGTTCAATGTTACAGGGCTCGTTGTCACGAAACTATGCTGAAAGTCATGTTGCCAGGTGAATGGTTGGGGTGTCACCAAGAACATCGTGGCAAAAATGGCTGAAAGCGAGGAAGAAAAGAAGCAGCTCGAGTCTGTCGACAAGCTCTGTGAGTTCAAGGTGCCACCCCTTGGAATTTCTATTTACAGCCTTCGGCATGCCGCCGGCCACCAGCTCGAGCCCGCATTGGCAGGCAGCCTAATGATGCTTATTAACAGTGTTCCACAGTTCTATTTTCGTTCCAAGGCAGGGACAAGATCACCTCTTCTAGGCTGAAGCAGCTATATAATCCGGCACGTCTCTTTGATTCAACTCGCTTTTTCCTGTTCTCGCCATGGCCTAGTCTGAAGCAACCGGGGCAGGGCAGGCTGTCGAAACATCCGCGCGGAGAAACAAACCGTAGATTGAAACTAACCGTAGATTGAAACCAATGGAAACCAACACAAGCCAGACGAAGCAAGACAATCCACAAAGCCGGTTCTTGAAAATGAGTCTTCTTCCAGACTACTTGGCCTTTTGCATGTTTTCCTTGTCAGATCTTTTTTTCGACCGTCTTGAGGAATTGCGAGTCGCACAAGATATTCTTTTTCACATACAGAAGGCTTCAAAGCGGGCTGAAGAATTTCTAGATCTGGCATGATTTGTCGTTTTTTTCTCTAAACCGATCGAAATGAAAGACCCAGAATGACATCGAACAACAATACCCTGCTCAATCATACTTGTTGGATCTTGTTGGTGCATTGGAGTTGCACATTTGGCTGGGTGAGTTTGTTGATGTTTATTTCAAGGTTGCTTGACCATGAAATGGAACGAATCCGAATCAGAGGTTGTGTATTCTGATCCAGCGATCCGAACCGGCATGTCTCAGTCGAATCACCTAAGAGGAACCAATTGAAACCAACACAAGCAATGCGAACCAAGACTATCCACAAAACATGACCTTGAAAACGATTCTTCTTCCAAACTACTTGGCCGTTTGCATGTTTTCCTTGTCAGATCTTTTTTCCGACCGTCTCGAGGGATTGCGACACGCACCAGATATTCTTTTTCACACACAGAAGGCTTCAAAGCGACCGAAGAATTTCTAGATCTGGCATGATTTGTCGTTTTTTCTCCAAACCGTTTGAAATGAAAGACCCAGAATGACATCGAACAACAATACCCTGCTCAATCATACTTGTTGGTGCATTGGAGTTGCACATTTGGCTGGGTGAGTTTGTTGATGTTTATTTCAAGGTTGCTTGACCATGAAATGGAACGAATCCGAATCAGAGGTTGTGTATTCTGATCCAGCGATCCGAACCGGCATGTCTCAGTCGAATCACCTAAGAGGAACCAATTGAAACCAACACAAGCAATGCGAACCAAGACTATCCACAAAACATGACCTTGAAAACGATTCTTCTTCCAAACTACTTGGCCGTTTGCATGTTTTCCTTGTCAGATCTTTTTTCCGACCGTCTCGAGGGATTGCGACACGCACCAGATATTCTTTTTCACACACAGAAGGCTTCAAAGCGACCGAAGAATTTCTAGATCTGGCATGATTTGTCGTTTTTTCTCCAAACCGTTTGAAATGAAAGACCCAGAATGACATCGAACAACAATACCCTGCTCAATCATACTTGTTGGTGCATTGGAGTTGCACATTTGGCTGGGTGAGTTTGTTGATGTTTATTTCAAGGTTGTTTGACCATCAAATGGAACGAATCCGAATCAGAGGTTGTTTTTTCTGATCCAGCGATCGACATGTCTCAGTCCAATGGTTGTCTATTCTGATCCAGCGATCGACATGTCTCAGTCCAATCACCTTAGACGTAGAGAGCGGGGGGGGGGTGGGGGGCGTCAGGCTGTCGAAAAATCCGCGCGGAGATACAAACCGTAGGTTGAAACCAACACAAGCAATACTAACCAAAACAATCCACAAAACACGCCGGCAGGCCGGCGGACTTCACAGTCAGCTTAGCTCTAAGATGGTTTTGAAGTAGATGGACCATGGAACACTTCCCAAACATGGCCATTTCTCTATTGGTTTTGGACTATCCCACTCAAGTGTGGCTTCCTTTCAGCGCTTCTTGTTTGCAAGTGCTTCGCTTAATTTGACTTGGGCCATGGAAGATGCGACGTTGTATGCTCGTGGACCCACTCACCCGGGGACTTGTATGTGCCAGGATGACGTGCACAAGCTTCAGCATGCCAGTCCCATTTCAGATCTGCGTCTGCCAAGTCCTTAGCACCAGAGGACATGACATGAGAGTGAGTCAGAACCCCCAGGTCACCAGGCTTTTGTGGTTTTGTTCATTTCGTGGTCAAGAGTCTAGACACCCCCAGAGCTCGACGGTTTCTCTCCTCAGAGCAATGCTGATCCGGCGAGCGACGGCATGAGCCGGTCCTTTTTCCTTTTGTCTGCTCGTCGTTTTTTGGGAGGGGAGGAGATGCATGTCCTGCAAATGATGTCCTGCGTATGGGAGAAACATGTCCGGGCTTAAGTCCTGCAAGAGCATGGATCATTACCATGTCTACAATGTTGAGCTGATGTTACTATGCTGGCGAAGCGGAATCATTGTGAAGACAAAAGAGAATTGGATGAATTCTGCAACCATTGGCTTAGAGCGGCCCTGTTGGTTGAGAAGCAAAGGGACTGGGGGCAAATCATGATGACGCCCAATACTCTGTGCGAACACATATGAACACATACATATGGACACATTGCCTTAGCAGGAATCCATACTGGGAATCCAGAATGGTCTGGCTGTTGAAGCAAACACCTTGCAGCCACAGAATCTCCAGAAGCCTCGTCATATTCGTTGCTGTTTAGCTCAAGACCCCCGCGCGCTGAGGTGGATGCTGACTGGCTTGTTGATTGTACTGGAAACTTGGCAGGTTATCAATATGCGTTCAATGACAAAGTTGCCGTTTACCGCACTGTTCTTGCAGATAGCATCATTGTAAGGGTTGACTTGATCTCCTTCCCAACATGTTCATTGGAGATGCGGAATCCAAAATTCCCAGCACAGCTTTGAGTCAACCCTTACTGCCTTGAACTGCGGTGGATTGATAACAACTTTGACCTCTTCCCAGTTGTGTGTCCTTGTGGGCATCCTCTACTGGTTTGAGCAGCGCAACCTGGCCAAAATGGAATGGAAGAAGTGATCGGCCGCATGGCCCTGCATGGCTAATTAATGCTCACGTTTCAAGCACTGGGGGTTCATTCCTGCGAAAGAGCTCCAGGGAGTTGGCAGGTTCGGAGTTGTGCTAATGGACCTTCAAGAAAACAAAGGATGCACCTTCCGGTGCAAAGCTCTTCGTTCCGAAAACGATGCCGTGGCAGTACCAAGTGGCACTTGGTCAAAAGGGCTTGCCATCTCCAATGCTTTTGAAATGACGTTGCTTGTGACCCGGAGGCAACTGGGTGCATGTTGCAAGGACTTTAGAGCTTCTTTTCGAATCCTCATAATACGTATGTCAACCAGTTTCTGGCACACGCTCGTTTCACGTCGAATTTCTGGTGAGACAATCACCGTGGTTCCTGCTTGGGCTAGCCAAGAGCTCTCCCCAGCTGGGGAAATCAAACATCTTCCAAGTGACATCCACCTGATCCATCAAAAAAAAGTCAAGAAACTCTGGTGACATTAGGTGGCGTTACAGATTTGTGCTTGTGCGAAGTCACTGAAAAGCCACAGATTTCCTCGTCGCCCTTGCTCTCGATTAAAGACCTGGCAAGCGTTGCCGCAGAACTTGAGAAAAGTCTTGCAAGTCCTGATCAGGATCAGAGTCAAGTCGCAACACATACAGGTCTTTTGCTTTGTGCACGTCCCCAAAGAGAACAGCTGGGCTTTGCCAGATTTGAATAGACATCTCGGTGTTGGGCAGCACTACCCTAATAGCGTCCGATCGCTCCTAGTAGCGATGCCCTTTGCTCCTAGTAGCTTCGTGTTCCTAGTAGCGATGCCAGGAGCCCCTAGTAGCATCTAGTAGCGTCCTTGCTCCTATTTCAATTGAATCTTGCCGATTCTTGGAGATTCTGGTTGGTGGCAGGATTTTCCGGACGAGGCCAAGATGGAGCTTGTCAAATGCTTCTATCCCTCGTTCTATGGGCCTGACGTGTCTCGGCTATTCAGAGTATTTGAGAGATATGTTTTCAGTTTGCCTGGTTGTGTTGGGTTGTCAAGCTGTATGGTGGTCGGTGAGTGAATCTGGGTACATGGACTTGGGCATGGTTTTCAATAGCAAGCTGCCCAGGAAGCCATCATGCTGCGGAAGGCTGCGACGGGCTTGACGTCCAACCCTTGCTTTTTGTGATCTCTCTCATCCCGCAGCGATGCCTGCGAATGTTCATGGCCTTGGCGTGACGTCATGGCCTTGTGGTGACTGCCTATACTGTCCTTGTCAGGCTGTCTTGGTGATCCAAAAGGGCATCATGGGAATCAGGCTCAACCTTCTCGTGTGCGGTTGGAGGAATGTGGTGCCGGTAGGCCGGTAGGCGACCTTTTCCAAGCTTTTGTACTTTCAATCATAGCCTCCCTGCAGGTTTTAATGACAACCAGCAACCAGCAACAACTCTTTTTTTTTCAATAGAACACTCACCACGGAAGATAGCTTCAGCTAGCTGGTGTTGCTCTTGCTTTAGCAAGTTATTGGCATGAGGATGGAATCGACTACCCAGTGAATTATCCACTGCTAGACCTCCCCCCACGGGTTCAACTCCCCTCTTGGACATGTCAGATTTTAGGAGCATAATAGTTCTGATAGCTTCCGTTTTGAGACCATTATGTGCGACTGGGACCATTCGTCTGCGTGAACAGAACCACGGTGTTTCGAGTGACTTCCGAAGGCCGAAGGCCTGCTTTTTGTATTTTGCAGTCACAGACCTCTGAAAGCTCATTCAAGAACACGATCGGACACCAATTTCCCTTTGCATACGACGTTTGCCAACGACCTGGTGCTCAGGGGCCGTGTGTTGAGGCTGGACGCCCAGCGATCGAAGGTCCGGTCGAAGCTCGGGACAAACGTCGAAAACCGAGGCGTGGAGATGTGATTGGCCTGGAGAGCATCCTGCTGGAGACCAATAGTCTGGTGGAGACCTCTCAGCCCAGGAGAGGCACTAGGGTGGTTTTGGAAGTAGTACAATTATGTATAATTCGAGTATACAGTAATTGCCCGTAGTTTTTTTCTTTTTTAAACATTTTTTGTTTGGTTTTATGTTTCGATGGTTTCCATCGCTGTTCGATCGCTGTGATTCAAAATTCGGAGATATGAAGGCTGGTTTGACCTTTGGAGAAGAGAATTTGGGTAGCCCGAAGGGTCGAAACACGAAGGGTCGCGGCCCAGGACCTTATCTTACTGCTTCGTCTGAAGCTGAATGATGTGCGAAACAAATTGAGTGTATTCTTTGTCTTTATGTCTTGCAAGAAGATCCTGCTTCAATGATTCGCACTGATCGCGGATTAGGTCGAAGGTTCTTCGTTTTTAGGTCATGATGCTGATGCGCGACGATTTGCTAGAAGTTGCTCGCAACTTTGAAGAGGTGGACGGGCAGTTGAGGACCGGCGCCAGAGATTGTCAAGTGTCAATGGCACGCAATGCCATGCAATGCTGCCTGGGATGCCTTCACCTGAGGAGAGCTCAGATCCGAGCCGCAGTTCGACGGGCCTTCCTCACATCAGCCGCTCAAGTGAAGCTACACCGGAAGGCGGCTGAGGCACAGATCTCTTTCCGCGCTGTGAGTTTTCATCCATCATAAGGTCTTTTCAGGGGTTGGAAGATGGATGAAGATGGGTAGGATTCCTGAAGTCATTCCAAAGAATTCACTACAGCACGAGTGAAGCTGGTTGACGTTGCCTCTTTGCTGGAGGAGGATGGACACTTGCCCCACATACAAAGGCGACCTGCGAAGGGTCTTTGCAAGCAAAGACGATATACAAACATCGGTCACTCAATCCATCAACAGCCTTCCAATCTAAGGATGTTTAAGGACTTTGAACGACCTGTTTTTGTTTGATTTGTTTCTTGATCTCAGTGTTCAAAGATATGAGTTGACTGTGACAATGTGTCCCGGCATAGCTGGGGCCTTCGGCATGTCGACTCTGCCCTCTCAGGACCTTCACCCAAAATCAAGCAACATTCTCTCACGCTCAGCCGATGCATCTAACGAGGCGGGGTGCCAGGTGCTCCACTGCATTCAGCTCCGGATCGTGCCTGGAGGGCTGGTGGAAAACGACGTGGGATGTTGGGAGGAAATACATCCACCGATGGCTGTTGGTCCATCCACCGATGGCTGTTGTAGGAAATATGGTCTACCCAACATAAATCCATGCAGAATCAGTGCCTCCAGGCACACTTCTGGCAGGTCATTGACCTCGCATGCAGCACCTGTGGCGATTTCACCGACAGGAGGAGTAGCAATCCAGAGATGTTCCCCAGGAATTGGATTCGGTTTTCGGGATTTGGCCTTCGCGAATTCATGTTTCGGCTTTGGTTAGGTTTGGTCGGCTTTGGCTTGTTTAGGGTTTGGTTGGTAGGCTGGCTGGTTTAAGGTTTCGTTTGTTTAGGGCTTGGTTTGGTGGGCTAGGCTTTGGTTTAATTGGGGTTTGGTTTGGCTGGCCTGGCTTCGGCTTGTTTACGCTCACGGCGACATTAGGAACCCCATCGGGGTTTGTCATTTTTACGTTTGACCCCCCATGATCATTGGTTCGTATGGGGTTGGGGGTCGGGGGCAATGACGTTTTAAACATTGTTTGTCCGATCGCACCACAGCTCCATGAGGGAGTTGTGTCTAAACAGTTTGGTTTCTCTTTGTTTAGTGTTGTTGCTAAGACTTTCTCAATCAAAACATTGCTTTTCGTTTCCGGATCCCCTCAAACTTTTTTTGTGCAGATGCGTCGATGATTCATGCCAAATGGCGTTTTGGAAACGCTTGCAATCGCCCAAGAAAAGTCAAACGAAGCGAGCCGGCGAGAAGCTGTTGGATAGAAGGTGGGTTGTTTTGAAACCATATTTTCCCAAAACCTTGACGACGAAGTGAGACTGCCAACTGAACATCTGAACGTGCGCAAGCTCTACAGTAAAGAGTTGGCAGTCCAGAAACACGTTGACGACGGCCAGTAAGCTTTGTTTGCGGCTAGGTGGGCTTGGCTTCGGCTGGTTTAGGGTTTGGCTTGTAGGGTGTGGTGTTGGCTCTGTTTTTCTGGAGCACCTAGCTTATAGGGTGTGGTGTTTGCGTTCCTTTTGGAGCCCCTAGTAGCGTCCTTGCTCCTAGTAGTAAGGCCAGGAGCCCCTAGTAGCTTCTTGTTCCTAGTAGCGATGCCAGGAGCCCCTAGTAGCGTCCTTGTTCCTAGTAGAGCACCTAGCTTGTCACTGACGGGTCCGGGATCGGCTGTTGGCGGTCTTCGGGCCGTGTCCGGCGGGCTGATCTCTGGGTCACGTCTCGACAGGAGACTCCGCGGCAACAGCTCCAGCTCCCTTGGCTTCTTGAATGCAATTAATTGAGGTTCCCCTTGCTGCATCTTGCTTTGAAGCTAGCCATGGCTAGTTCTTCCAGGAGTCAGTCATGAATTTTTGCAAAGCGTGCAGCAAATCTGAGGCTAGCGCACTAACCAGAGGGCGGTTCTCACGCGTTGGAAGCAGCTTGGAGGCCATTGTGATGTCTTGGAGGGTCAGGAAATGTGTGACCAATCAGGAGACCAATCTCCAAACTCATTTTTGTGGTCTGCGCCCAGGATTGACAAATGCTACACAGTGTCAGTGTATGATCCCAACTCCATCCATCCATCCATCCATCCATCCATCCATCCATCCATCCATCC